AAAACCTTCAAGCACCTCGAATGGCATCTTCATCCAGTGAGGAGGAGTGGGGTGGGCAGCCCACCACCCCCCCGCCCCCTAACTGGTGTCAGCCCCCAGGAGGGACTCCATCCTCTTCCCCATTTTGGGTCTGATGGGTGATGGCGGCATTTTATCCCCCATCCGGGGCACAAACACCTGGAAAAAGGGGTTTTGCAGCATGAAATGGACCCAGGTACCCCCCCTCGCATTTCCCACAAGGAAAAATGAGGATTTGGGGTGGGAACAGAAGGAAATGGGGAGGCGTGAGGAAGGCACAGCCTCATGTCGGCACACGAGCCATCAGAGAATCCCCACCCTGCCTTGGCGAGAGCCAAACCCTTCAGCCAGGTGAGAAGGTGGGGGTACACCCTTGGGAAACCCCAAAACCCCACCAGCCCTGGCTCTGGGGGTCACCTAAAAGAGGGGAGCATTTCCGGGGAAGGTGTTCCCGGCAGGGTGTCCCCATGTTTTGTCCCTGTCCCACCCCCGCAGCAACCCGTGGCAGCTGCAGGGAGGTTATCTGGGGGATCCCCGTGTCCGATCCCAGCAGGATGGGGGGTGAGGGGTTGGGATTTTTGGGGACCCCCCAGGTTGAGCTGGGTCAGGGTGTGAAGGAGTTGGCAGTGCTCTGATGTCCCCAGGATGCCCACAGCAGGGGGACATTGCCCCTTTCCTGGGGGGCTGGAAGGATTTAAGAGCCCCTATTTTAAAGAAGGAATTTTTTCCCCCCTTAGAAAAAAAAGACGCTATTAATCCCAAAAATTAAGCTCAGCCCCCGATTTGGGGAAGGGCATTTCCACCGGGAAACCCCTCTGATGCCCCCAACACCCTGGCTATGTCCCCCAAAAACCCTGGGAAGGGGGACAGCCCTGGATGTTCCGGGTTTAATGAGCCCCCATGGCCAGGTCCTGCGTTCACCCCGGGAATTAGGGGGCGTCCTGGGGATGTCCCCACTCCTGACCCACGGCCATGGGGTCCCAGTGGGGTGGCAAGAGAGTGTGTGTCCCCCACATCATACCAGTGTCCACCCCCATCACACCAGTGTGTGTCCCCCACATCATACCAGTGTCCCCTCACATCACACCAGTGTGTCCCCTCCACATCATACCAGTGTCCCCCCACATCATACCAGTGTGCCCCCACATCACACCAGTGTCCCCCCATATCATACCAGTGTGTCCCCCCACATCAAACCAGTGCGT